ACTGCCTGCAGGGTTTCTCTAGATTATCACTGCTCATTTCCAGAAGTTTCACAGCCTCCAAGCCCTGTTAGAGGCGGCAAGTGGGAGAGACAGCAGTTGCTACTGCAGACCCACCAAAAAGCAAGATACAGGGTTGGGGTAAGGGGACAGCAGGGTCCCAGTGCAGGGCAGCCAGCTCTGTGGGGCTTGCAGCCTTTCCTTCCCCGGTGGACGGCACCCACCTGGCCACAACTCCTTTTTCCTACGGAGGCCACTCCTGAGCTGCTGATGAAGTCTTCCTTATACATCTTGGTATAACAAAGCTGCTTGCTTGTTCTCTGTAGGGGCTGCTCAGAATACGCTGGTACATGTGTGTTAAGATCCAGAATCCAGTGACCTTGGCACTGAGCTGTGTCACTAGTTCTCTCAGTGGTCCCTGCCCTGGAGGCTTCCTATCCCTCTGGGGAGACGTTCAGGGGCTGCAGACTGGGGCCTGCCGACTCCGTTAGCTCTTGCGTCCTCCCCGGTCACCTGCTGCCTGTTTCACCATGAACCAGCTAGACACTGAGGTGTCACTCTCTGTCCTTGTTAAGCAGAGGACATGCAGGATCCCTGTTCACACCCCACTCGTGGGGAACATGGCCTCTCCCTGACTTTCCTTTTATGTCGGTGTCTGAACCTGCAGCATCGCCCTGAGCAACTGGTGGTTTGTGGCCCATCTGACAGACCTGCTGGATCACTGCAAACTCCTCCAGTCGCACAACCTCTAGTAAGTGTGCTGTGGCCTCAACATTCCTCTCCTTCCTCCCACCTCTTCCCCTCCTGCACCTGGGGTGAATTAATGCCTGGAGGTGACCCCTGAGCCAGCAGGCTGGGAGTGAGGGTGTCATGTCATGTTTGATTCCAGCTTTGGATCCAACATGAGAGAGTTCCTCCTGCTGGAATACGCCTCCGGACTGTTTGCCCATCACAGGTACTAGGGCCCCAAGGTGTAGGTGGTGGTGGGTGCTTTTTAGAGTGCAGGTACCACTGGACCGTGGCTGTGTGCATTCCCATCTGGTTCATTGAAGGTTTTGGATGCCAGTTTGGGGTCCCCTGGGAGCAGCAGACCCCAGGCCTCATGCCGGTCCTCACTGGGTCTTTGCAGTCTATGGCAGCTGGGCGTGGATTACTTTGACTACTGCCCAGAGCTGGGCCGAGTGTCCTTGGAGCTGCACATTGAGCGGATCCCTCTGAGCACCGAGCAGAAAGCCCTGAAGGTGCTGCGGATTTGTGAGCAGCGGCAGATGACTGAGCAAGGTGAGTCAGCTTTCTCCTGGCACTCTTCCCAGCAGTCACACCATCAGGCTGTGCGAGAGAGGTTGGCGTGGGTGCCAGCAGGTAAACCGAGATAGGGCAGTATTTTGGAGGATCGCAGGAGCAGAGGGTCCTTTGGCACCTGGAAGCTGTTGAGCTTGTTGCCTGGAAACACGGTCCTGAGCCGTGTGTACTGCAGGGGGCAAGACTGGTCAGGCTGGGGTGTGCCTGGCTCAGGTGGGTTGGCTCCGGGGGGAGAAGGCCCAAGGGGGCTCAGGAAGAGCCCAGGGAGAGAAATGGTAATGACCAAGTTGGCCCCTGCTCTTCCCTCACTGTTAGGTGACTAAAACCCCCAGCTGTTACTCTTCGCGGGAGTATTTGTATGTTTATGACCGTCTGAAGGAGGCACGTGGTGTTTAAAACACCACGGATGATAAGGTTTTCAGCACACGGATGAGTTCCTCTGCGGGGAACAAAAATAATTATTTCTGTCACCCCTGAAATCAAACCCACTCACAAGCCAGTGCTGCTGTGATGGGCTTCCTGCTCGTAGAACCAGAAGACCTGTGGAACCTGAGTGCCAGAAAGACCTTGTGAGATCCCCAGTAGGTGGCAGACTGCCTGGGCCCCTGCAGGCTCAGGCGTGCTGTGACGGGCTGAAAGAGTTGCCTCTCTTTTCCCTGTAAAGTTCGCAGCATCTGTAAGATCTTGGCCATGAAAGCTGTGCGCAACAACCGCCTGGGCTCCGCCCTCTCGTGGAGCATTCGTGCCAAAGACGCTGCCTTTGCCACCCTGGTGTCCGACAGGTGGGTCCAGCTGTTTCAGGGTGTTGGCTTGCCCAGGGTTACCCTGGGCAACTTGGAGGCGGAGCTGTGGCCCTGGGACTGCTGCTCTGACCCCTCGGCCCCGTCTCATAGGTTCCTCAGGGATTACTGTGAGCGAGGCTGCTTTTCCGACCTGGATCTCATTGACAACCTGGGGCCCGCCATGATGCTCAGCGATCGGCTGACATTCCTGGGTGAGTCTCGGCTCTGGCTCCAGAATCGGGGGCAGCAGAGGTCGGTTGTGGCACTTTGAGGGTCCGCTTCTAGACTTCCTTACGTCACGCCCATACTCCACACTTCACAAAGCGTATTTTGGGTCAATTAACCAATTGTTACATTACTAAATAAGTGTAAAGTTGTGGAGTTAATATAAGGAGTAAGGGACTGTGAACCTTGTCTTGATTCACCAATTATATTTTGCTTTGTTTAATTCTATCAGTTTTGGGGGAAATAATTTGAAAGTAAGTTGGAGGCATTGTTCCCCTTTCTGCACAATGACTCAGGTGCATTTTCTGAGGACAAGAGTCCTTGTCAGTCACAGAAGTCAGTACGGCCTCGTTGGGCCCACACAGTTGCCAGCTAGGTCCCTTTGGTGTCTGGGGTCATGAATTTGGTTGTACCCCTCTAGTTCCTCCGCCTCTTTTGGTGCTTCTGAACCATGGCTTTGTATAAAGATTTGTTGTATTTATGCATATAAGAACTGGGGTTCCCTGGTGGCGCAAAGGGTTAAAGTGTGGCACTATGGAGCTAGCCACCGCCTCTTCAGAACAGTTTGATCCTCGAGCAGGGAACTCAGGGAACTCGAGGGAACCACATGGCAAGGCAGGCCTCTCCTGTCTCCCCGCTCTTGCCTCTGGTGAATTTTCTTACAGTCCCCCACACCCCAGTTGTGTGTATAAACTTAAAAAAAAAAAGCTGGAGTGTATGTAGGTCAGAGGTGTGGGGTGAGAGGATTCACTAGAGGCAGTGGGGAGCAGAACAGGTGGATCGACTGAAACCCACTGCTGAGGGGAACAGTGGGGAGACAGGAGAGGTCTACTGCACCGTGTTGGTCACTCCCTGGCTGGGGAGCAAACTTGTGCTGCCGTGGCTGTGATAGCTTGACAGCCCTGAGACTAACCCCTGCACTACCGGGGAGGCCTTCAACCAGGACCTTGTGAAGCTTCAGTCCAGCAGCTGTATAGCGCCTTCCATAAGGATTAATCCGTGCTTTCCCAGTCCCCTCATCGGGCAGGCAGGGTTTGTTTCAGTGACTTGGCTCAGGTGTTGTCCTTCAGATATCTCCTCTGATTTTCCCTGTGATTCAGTAACTTGGAGATACTCTGGGCTCCTTCCAGTGTTTTGCTGCTCATAAACTTTCCTCCATAGGCTTCAGTAATTAGTGATTTCCTGTCATTTGTTTTAATGGAGTGCCCCCTCTGGAAGACTTTCCCTTCTTCATCATTTATTTCACTCACAGGACGGGCTGTGGGGTATTTTCAGCTTTCTCAGCTGCCATCCTCTTACTGGATGCTGTGTGTTCCGGGGTGCGGTCTGAGGACCTTCCAAGTCTTTCAGTGCACTTGCTCCAGGATCTGGAGAACGGCTGTGGCAGACTCCCTGTTTTGGGCACTGACTGGCACGGAGTCTCTTGGTTAGGTCAGAAGTGACCTAGAGCTCTCTGTCCCACTAGGGAAGTACCGCGAGTTCCACAGATTATACGGGGAGAAGCGTTTTGTGGATGCTGCCGCGCTCCTCCTGTCTCTGATGACCTCTCAGATCGCCCCCCGGTCTTTCTGGATGACACTTCTAACCGACGCCCTGCCGCTGTTGGAACAGAAACAGGTGCAGGCTGAGTGCGGTGGGCGTCTTAGTCCCAGAGTCCTCTTGGTGCCCTGTGGAGTGAGTGCGTCGTCTCCCAGAGGGTCTCACATGCCTGCCTCCCACCACCCTCTCTGGAGAACCAGCATCCACAGAAGAAAAGCTGCTTGTTGAGAGGCAGCTTTCTAGAGACAATGCTCAGCCCAGGACCTTGACGAGAAGGGCTGGGAGTGAGAATTGGGGTTGCTCTGCCTGGCCCTCCTGGGTTGCATGTGTAAAGGGCACTAGAAGAAGCCCGTGCCCACCAGAGCAGCCCAAGGCTTAGAGCAGCCAAGCCAAACCCTCTCTCTCTCTCCTAGGTGATTTTTTCAGCAGAGCAAACCTATGAACTGATGAGATGTCTGGAGGACTTGGCCTCAGGAAGACCAGTGTGTGGAGACCCCGAGGCCCAGCGACTCCAGGTGATTTTCTGGGTTGGTGATGCCAACCCAGTTTCTGGGCTTCCCTCTAGAAACTCACTCCTTAGAAACTCTTAGTTGACTCTTCACCTGTAGTTGTGACACACCAACTTCTATGGGGGGAAAAATGAGGAGAGTTTAGTGTTGTGGTCTGTCTGCGTCTCGTCTCTCCTGTTAGTAACCACAGTCCCTTGTATGTCATCACCACCGCACACTTCCTGGCAGCTAGTCCTGGATGTTAAGTGGCCTCTACTTCTGGGCCACTAGGGCTGTTGGGAACTGTGGGGACCGTACGGCCTGCTGTGCCTCACACGCACTCTCTTCCTTCTAGGAAGACGACATAGAAACCACCAAGGTGGAGATGCTGAGGCTTGCTCTGGCCCGCAATCTTGCTCGGGCAATTATTAAAGAAGGCTCACTGGAAGGTTCCTAAGTCTTCTGAGGGCTGCTCTAACATGGTATTTGTATGGCAATTTGTATATAATTTTTAAAAACAGAATAAATGCTTTTTTATGTAAAGGTAAGGCAACTAGAGTTAGCGATATTGAGAAAATGTTTTGTGTTCTTGACAAGGAACTGACTTCCCAGTGTCTCCTTAGAGACGGCCACTCCAGAAGTTACAGGTAGGAGGGTGCTGCACTGACCTCAGTGGTTTACTTGTCCTGAAATCTGGCCTGTCTTAGAATCCTCTGGAAACCTGTTTCTGGCTCTCTCCTTTGAAAAGGGAGGTCTAGGAACCTCTTCTTTCTGGAGTTCTGGCATCTTCCCCCATCGGAGTAAATGGTGCCTATCAGAAGGATTCCAGGTAGGGCTAAATGGTTTTATTTTAACATGCAGCAAAACAAGGGCAGCACAGTTGCTATCTCCAGTACAGCCGTTTGTCATGAAGCAGTGACCTGTAGCGGTGAACTGGAGTCAAATAATTTTAATGTCTAAATCCTATCATAAAGAATATTTCTACCTAGTTTCCCACAAACTTTCCAGGGCCACAGCAGCCTGTCTGGGGAACAGTTTTACATTGATTCCTTAGTGAAATCGAGTGACCCACTCTTGCCCAGTTCAGATAAAGCACTGAAACCTGCTTGCTACAGACAGGAGAGCGGTGGGGTGAAAGTCGGGAACCTTGGCAGGACACTGACTCCCTGGGAGGGGTTCTGTGGCCCCAGGTGCATACTGGGACAGACACTGTTGAAGCAATAGGGTCTGGTGACTCCATCAAGCACAGGCCCCAATCTCACCACCTCCAGACCCAGCATCTTGCGCAGTGCCGCCCAGCACTAGGGACTTCCAGGGGCTTCTGGGTGGCAGATGAGGGTGAGGTGCCTGGCTGCAGGTGTGCCGCACCATGGGGGTGGGGCCTGTGCACAGAGGTGGCAGGCGTTCTCCCCTTTAGAGACAAAGGGCAGGATACAAGTTTATTTCATGCCAAGCAAGAGGTAGTGAGTAGGATGCCTGCTCCCATGGCAGGAGGTACCTGCTTCTGGAGGGAATAGACTGATTCTCTTCACTTTTCTTCCTATCCCCAGTTTAGGCTGCCACGAGGCCAGGTTCAGTTTCTAATAGGCCACGTTTCCATGTCCTACTGAGATGTCCATAGGACACAGCTGCCAGGGACGAGCACACACTCATGCAGCAGCTGGTCTAGGATGACGTTGCCCACGAAAGGCAAGGCTGGCGGTTCAGCAGCAGACCGCTCCTTCCTGTTGCCCAGGCCCTACCGTTCATCTGCCCACCTCACTGCAGGCAGGAGCCAGAGCCTGCAGCTGGGGAGGCAGAGCAGTGACAGGGGCTGATGCCACTAAAGCAGGGCCCCATGGATTGTGAGGCCCCAAGTCTTGAGATCTTACCCCTCTTGTGGCATCGGGGGCTCCAGCATGAGGGCAAAACATGATTCCAGCTTTGGGTCCATGCTCCCAGGACAGTAGTGCTGGGGCCACTCCCCACCTGATGTACATGGCCAGTTCAGGTCACACAGGTAGCTAAAACCAGGCCCTTTAGGGCCAGAGGAGGAGTCTCAAAGCAGGTTTGACTTGGCAGCAAGCCCAGGGCCCCTTGTTCCGCATCAAAGCTTGTAAGCACTGTAGTCAGGACATGGAGCATGGCTGGGCCCAGAGCCCTCTGGCTCGGGGCAGCCTGCCTTGGCTGCAAGGTGGAGATGACCGCATCCTCTGGGGTCATAGGTTTCCCCACTGCTCCACAGGAGGGAACTGGTCCACCTCGCCCACCTCCGTGCTCAGCTCTTCCCCCAGAGTGAAGGTCAACTTATACCGAAGCCTCGCCTTCTCCTGCGGCAGAGGGGTAGCACGTGAGATGGCCCAGTGGCCCTTCTGTGCCCTAAGGCTGGGCCTGTTTCCACCACCCCATGTGCACATGGGCACAGTTGGGACCCTGCTTCTAGCTCACCTTGAGCGGGTTGGCCAGCAGCATGACCTGGGTGATGGCTGCAGGTGGCTGGATGGGACTAAATGGCGACAGCTCTGTCCCAGAGGGGGGCTGCAGCTTCACTTTCATTGACTAAAGGGAGAAAGAGAAGCTTTTCTGAAGAGACCTGGCAGGTGCCCCAGAGACCCTGGGCACAGTGGGTTCAAGAACAAAGGCAGCTTCTGCCTCTGGGGCACCTTGGGCACTGCGGCTTGCAGGACGATGCTCCTGATGGGCAAGGGGGCTGTGTTCAGCATGGACACCACCACCACCAGCACATCGGGCCGTCCGGGCGGACACTCCTTGGCAAAGTGGAAGAGGATGCGGAAGCCATTTTTATCATAGGCTGTCACAGGAAGGGCACTGCCTGTAAGAAGGTGGCACGTAGTGTGGGAGGAGGGAGGCAGAGACCCCACCGGAGTCGTGGGGACGCGAGGCTCCTTAGTCTGCTGGTGTGTAGTGGCAATAGCAAAGGTCAAGATGGATCACACTAGCACACCAGCACCAAGGCCTCCCAGGAAGCAGGGCCTGGACGCCACCCTCCCCAAGCCTTCAACGCCACCCTCCCCAAGCCTTCAACGCCACCCTCCCCAAGCCTTCAACACCTACTAGGCTTGATAGATTCCAGGGGTACATGGACGCTGGCCAGGGAGAGCTCAGGCCCTTTTCGAGGACTGCTGTGAGACTGGAAGAGCGGGCTCTCAGGCCCTGCAGGGAAGGGCAGGTGAGGCCTCACAGAGGTGGCTGCAGGGAAGAAGCTGGAGGAGCTGGGCTTCCCCAAGCCTGAAGTCCTGGAGACAGGAGGGACAAGTGTGAAGAAGTCGCTCTGCCCAGTTGGCGCACTGGACCAAAGCCCAGCTCCCTCCAGTGCCGCTTCTGGGTCTGCCCAGCCCTGCCCTTTCTCCCTCATTACGCTTTGGCTTCTCCCAGGAGCTGATCCAGGGCATCCAGCTGGTGCAGGCTGCTGTTGCCCAGAGCTGAGCTATGGTATCCAGGGGCTGTGGGTTCAGCCTTGGCTGCCGCCAGTCCCGTAGGGAACAAGGAGCCTGCGTTGGGGGCAGGAGCGCTGGCAAGGAGTGCAGGTGCTGGGAACGGGGATGGCAGTGGAGCTTGGGTGGCGCCTGAGGAAGGTGTGGAGGGCTGCAGGAGAGGCCTGTTGGAGGGGCTGTAGGCAGCGGCCCCAAAGAAGTCCAGGTCTGACTGCTCGTTCTATGGGAGAGGAAAGACTGACCAAGCAAGAGATGCAGCTCTCCCCACCCCTGACCACTTGGTGGGCTCAGATGTGAGCCAAGTGTCCCCAACCCAAGCATCCAGGAGACTCCCGAGAGTTCTAGCATAACAGAAGAGGACCCTATAAAGTAATGCTTATTTGGCCTTCGGTGAAGCCATCTGGGCTCCTACCTGCAAAGGGGGCCACTGGCTGTTTCCAGCTGCCTCTTTGGGAGGAACGCTGGGGGCTGGGTCAGTAAGGCCTGAAGACAGAAGGCGCTGAGATGAGGCTCTGGGCTCCCACAGACCCGCCCCACCTGGCCCAATGCAGGCTCAGGATGAGAGTAACTGATGGGTGACAGGGTGGGAGGTGTTCCCTGGCAGCCCTCAGCTGCCCTTTCAGCTCTCACTTTCAGGGGACAGGGGTCCTCTAGGAGAGAAAGGGCACACCTAGCCCACAGCACCTGCACCCACACCAGTAGCGAGGGCACTGAACTTGACTTCCCCACACCCCGAGCCACCTGTCCCAGCTCGGAGAGCCTGTAGAGGCCTCCTTCCTTGACGCACCCAAGCACAGCAGCTCTTCATCTAGCAGGGAGAGGCTAGTGCTGGCGGGCCCGGGCGGGGCCTCCGTCTGGCTGGAAGAGCGACTGCGCTGTGGTCCGGAGGGCTGAGGGGGTGGAGGGAGGATAGGGATGCCCAGGGGGGCTGGTGCAGGGTCCAATACTGGGGAAGTGTTGCTGGGTGTGTCCAGTTCAGCAAGGTCGATGAGTGTGCCTTGATTACTGGGGTGCTGGTTCCCTGGATGGGCGCACAGAAGGGACAGAAACCAGGAAGGAGGGTTCTAGCGCTGTGCTGCAGACCCTGGCGAGACAGTGAGTGAGCAGGGAAGTACTAGCGGGCGGGAACCCCATCTGCACCGCCCAGCTGATGGGAGGGCCACTGGGAAGAGTTCACAATCCCCTTGGGGTCTGTGGGGTACGACTGCTAGGATGCCCAGGCTGGGACATGAGTTTTACCTTCCGAGTCAGCCACGGCCAAGGTGCCGACCTCGCCGTTGACAACCTGGCCTTCGACAGTCGCTTTGTAAGAGTTGATGACCCGGGAGAGCTGGTCACTGGCCTCCAGGATGTTACCTAGAGCAGAAAGGAGATGCCTTGCTCTTGGCTGTGACATCCAAATTGCTGAGCCCCCTTGTCAGCGGCTTTCCTTTTCACTCACCCAAACTGTTGTCATTGTCCTCAGTCTCGCTGGCTAATTTGAATAACATCCGCCTCTTGTTCTCACATTGATCGAACAGTTCCTGAAAGGGCCGAGATGTGTGAATCTGGCTATGGAAGCCCCGGGAGGTCATCCAACTCCCATCCTGTCCAGGAAACCATGGGCCCTCCTGAGGGCCCGGTCAGTCACCCTCCTGCCACCAGCTCCACCACGCATGGCCTGGGACACTTACAAAGTTGGGGACCTCCCAGGCTGGCGCTTTGGGGCACCGCACCTTGGCTTGAGGCGCAGCGTCAGGGATCCAGGGAGGGACTGCCCGCCAGTCCCAGAAGGGGGCAGGGGCAGTCGCTCTCATCGGGTTAGCCAGCGCTTGTGTCCAGTAGGTGCTACCCCTTCGCCTGGCTCTTGTGCCGACAAGCTGGCCCCGGGCCTGAGAGCATCCTCAGCATAGGCCCTCGGCAGAGCGTGCCCCTCTGGAACCTGCCTTCATCAGCTCTCTGTCCGCCTCGGAAGACTCCTCTCTATTGTAATGCAGCAGCATCTCCTGGAGCAGCTTGACGTTGTTGCTGACTTCCTCGAGCGTGTGTTGACGCCTGGTCATCTTCTGGATCCGCGCCTCATCCTGCACCAGAAGCCAGTGAGAGACCTGCAGGCTCCGGGCGGCGCTGGTGCAGTGTGAGCTGGCCGAGACCTTGCCTGGCCCTGGGTGGCTCCACGTGTGCCCCACTCACCTCCTTGACCATAGACTTGATGAGCTTGTTGGCCTCTTGCAGGTCATCTGGGTTTTTGCTTTTCAGCAACTTGGCTAAAAGCTAGAGAATGAGGGTCTCTTAGGTGAGGGTAGCACTGCATGTGGTGGGACTACAGGACATGGAGCTTGGCGCAGCACCAGGGGAGACCACACCTCGCCCAACTGCTGCCACGCTGCATCTGAGGCCTGGGATGTGCTTTACCTTGGATTTCTCCTCATCATCAAAAACAGGGTTTTTGGGGCGAGGTGGTGGAGAGGGGATCAGTGTCCAGTCCATGGGGATGGGCGGGTCAGAGTGCACTATGCCTGGAAAGGGACACAGGGTAGTGTTGCTTGGCTGGGCCACCACACAGCTCTAAGGTCCAGGCCTCAGAGAGGGCAGAGCAGGCGACACTGACCTTGTCTCAGCCCAGCCCTTTCTAGGCCCTGGGAGTGGGGAGGGAAGCAGCGGGGCAGTAGCCAGCCCTCAGGAAGGTGGGTACATACCCTCAGGAAGGTGGGTACATACCCTGCCTCTTCAGCATGTGGTAGGCATCCTTGATCTTTGACTCCTCCGGCAGGGCCAAAGTCCAGCTGTATAGCAGCTCGATAACCTTGGTCTTCACTTTCTCAGACACTCTGTCTCCCAGGTACTAAGAGGCAAGAAGATGCGGGAACCCTAGCAGCAGCAGCCTGGAGGCTGAGACGGTGTGGGGCCTCCACAGCATGGCAGGGCGGACAGCAGGCAGCCACTAGGCCTGCTCCCAGCAGGAGGGATGCGCCTGCCTCGTGGATCCACATGGCCTTTGTGTCACTGAAGAAGGGAGAATGCCATGCCTAGCACTCATCCCATTTGCCTCATGGAGTGCCAGAGCTTCTGCAACCTTACTGCACCACAGCTTAAGCGGCGGAGAAAAAAGGGAGGCCGTCTCCTTGCAGCCATGAGGCCGAGGAAAAGCACCTACTGTGTGCCAGGACAAGGCTCACAGGACCACAGCAGCACGCCGCCGGGAGCCTGTCCCTGCACAATCAACTGCTCTGTCCAGGGCTTGGCGCACTAAAGCAGCACGTGCAGCCTCAACACAAGGCGGTGTGGGGCTTGGGAAGGGGGAGGAACACACGTCCGAGAAAGGCTGACCAGGCACCACTCACTGACCTTTGGAGAGACAACTTTGATCAACTCGTTTAAGAAGCGGAACTTCCCGACTTCGTTATGAAATCTCCTCCCGCAGTTCTTCATGCAGGCCTCCAGCACCTGTGGCCACAAAGGGGAGGCTCTCGGTGAGGGGCGTTTGAGGGGCCTGTCCGCAGCTAGGCGCATCCAGGCCCCTGCACAGATTTAAGAAGGCAGTAGGAGCTGGGAAAGTGACTGAGCCCCATGTCCCTCAAGCTGCAAACCTCTTCTGGGAAAGCTCGGCAGGAACTAAGAAACATGGACCCAGACACAGAGAGAGGGACTGTTCATCATGCAAGGCACCTCGCCTCAACTCTGCCCTTTGTTTTACAGCTGATGAGGCTCAGACACACAGCTTTTGATTTAGGGTCCAGGTTTTTTTTCCCCAAGTTGATCCACAGTTAGGGGAGGTGAAAGTGCGTTTTCATGGAGAACACGGTACTGTTCCTGCCCTGGCTTCCATTTTTTCCCCTTGGAGCCACGTGTTCACGCTCAGCTGCAGCTCCCTGCTCCCTTTCCAGGCTTCCACCTGTAGCGTGGGCTTTCAGCTTCACTGCTCTTTCCATGCCTGGGGCTGCTGTAACATCGCTGTGCGCACATTCTAGTCTCTGCCATATCCCTGGCCTGCACCCCCTAGATGTCAGTAGCAACCCTTGACATGTGACACTAAGTGTCTGCAGACAGCACCGAGTGCCAGCTGGGGGCAGAACCAGTCTTAAGGGCATCACAGAATACGGAACACAACAGCCGTGGGCACCAGGGCCCTAATGAGGTCGGGAGAGCACCTGGTGCGGGCGCACTGGCATCTAAGCACAGCGCCAAGTCCCTCAGCCTGACAGTTACCAAGATCCGCCTACCAGGGACACTTCAGAACAGCACCATTCCTGCCACATTCTTCTGTCTGGGCAAGTGCTCACTAGCAACACAGCTCTGTCAGCATCTTCCTAAGAAGGTTCCTATGAGCACCATTAAGCCTGCTTCTCCCACCAGACCTCACAGGCTGGCAGGGATTTCTAATGCCTCAGTGTCTGGCACAGGGAAACCCACTTGTGGAATAGCTGTTCTAGGTCCACATAACCTGTCTTGAGGACTTTCTGCAAGTTGAGAACCTGGGCATGTAAGGAAAGGCTGTGCTCAGAGAGCTCTGTCAAAACAGAACCTACCATCAGGGCTTGGACCGCCTCCCATTCCTGTGGAGAGTGGATCTTATGGGCCAGCAGTCGGACAGCGATCTGTGGCCTAGGAAACAGGCAACCACTTCTAGGACGACGACCGGGGCCATGTAGCCAGTCCCTGACTTTGCCGCCGGCCTGTCCTCACCTGCCCCCTAAAGCTCTGCAACTCACCCTTCAAGTTCTTTGTTGATCTGATCACAAAAGCCAATTATGTACTCCCAGTCCTCCTGGCGGTTGGAAGGGTTGGTAGCTTTATCTTGAGACAAAAAAGAAGAGGATGATCGTTTTAAATTTCCATAATAGAGAAGTTAATAAATAGTTCAGTCAAGCAGCAAGTCAACTACAAGTACCAGTTTCTGTCTTGTAATTCAAAGCCACACATGAGAGCGAGAGCCTGTTTCTCGGTGCTTTGATCAGAATTGACAGCATAAGTTTTATACAAGAATGATTAAAATATCCACAAAATGGACACCTATGATGTGTAATATAACAAATATAGATAAAGCCAAAGATATAAAAGGGACTATTTCCTGGAGAAACTAAAGCCAGGAGACACTAGATAAAAATTACACGTACTTAGGAAAGAAATCTCTTCTACATGATCTTAAAAAAAAAAAAGCCTAACTTTTGTGCTTTAAACATTTTAAAAACTATATTATGTTTATCACTTGAAGCTGACAATGTTCAGGATGGCCTAGCAAGCACCCATTACTGCACTGTGTTCCTGGGCTCACAGAAACAGACTTGCCAACTGCCAGCATATTCAGCATCGTCAAGTCTGAAAGGTCTGTGAGCAAAGAAAAGGAAAAGTGGGCCTCCCCGGTGGCGCAGGGATCAAGTCTCAGCAGTGTCGAGCTATCAAGTTCTCCACAGCCACTGCGGCACCGCTTCCAGCCCCGGCCAGGGAGTGACCTACAGGGCTCAGCTGCCCTCTCCTGTCCTACCCGCTGCTCCTTCAGCAAGTTCAGTAGATCTGCCTATTCTGCTCCCCACTCTGTCTCTGGTGAATTCCCTCATGCCCCCCACTGCACCTCTGGCCTGCACCCCAGTTCTTGTATGAATAAATCTTTAAAAAAACTGCTGGAATGGGCCCTCCCTGGTGGCGCAGCGGGTTAAAGCACAGCACAAAGAGGCGGGGCCACTTACACACGACTTCAATCCCCGCCTGCCCCGAGGATCCACAGGGCGCGGCAGAACTCTCCCGACCCACCCATTGCTCCCCTCAGCAGTGTACTTTCTTGAGCTGCCTGTTCCGCTCCCCACTCTGTCTCTGGTGAATCCTCTCACCCTCCACATCTCTGTACCCCAGTTCTTTATGAATAAGTAAATCTTAAAAAAAAAAAAAAAAAACCCTGCTCCATGACCAACTAAATAGTAACAGGGTCCACAGCACCCCCATGCGTTATGAGGGCTCCGAGCCACGAGAGGTCAGCAGTCACCACTGGAGGCAGAGGGCAGGCCGCCACAAGGAGCAGCCCAGGCTGTGGCAGGCTGCTGGGCGCTTTCTGCTCAGGCGGCAAGACGACTCAGATTTAAGCTCGTGGATCAGAAGGTCCTTCCAGTGCCAAGCTGGCCGGGGGGGTGGGGGGAGTCATTCTCTGAACAGTGGCGATGTAACTGCCAGCGACCTAGCGGTCACCTTCTCAGGAACTGGAGTCTGTCCCGCCAGCTGTCCAACACCTCCCAGGTATGCAGCGGTGGCTACTCATCCCTATCGTGTGAGGTGCTGGACGCGCTCATGTGACTCGGAGCTGCAGGGTACAGGACTAAGGTGGCCGGGACCCCATCCCACCCCGCTGCTGGTGCCACCCGAGAACAGCCACCCCTCATGGCACGGGAAGTGAGCCCGCACGCTGCCGCTGCCCTGGGAAAGCAGACACCCCGCCACCCGCACACGGAGCCACGGCACCAGCAGCAATGATCTCCGCGTGCTGGGTGCCCACCGCATCCGGCTTTCCAGAACTTGCCCGCCCACTCGCACTTATTTTCTGCTCCTGTGGAATCCCACTTTCTTTCACCTCGGCAGACCTTCCCCTGCGAATCTGCAGAGAGCTCTGCCTACACGCCGCACAAAGTCCTAGCTTCAGCAACAGCAGGCCCCGCTCCTGAGTCTTTCCAGCTCAACGAGCAGACTGGTCACCCCTGGGGAGCAGAAGAAACCTCTGGGGCTGATTCTGGGTGTTTCCATCTGCCTCTGCCTCCAACCCTCTCAACACTCCCCTCTACCTGCACAGAGGCGATGCGGGGGCCTCCCACGCAGACCCTCCCTTCTAGAACCACCTCTCTGCCCCGCTCAGAGGTTTCTATTCTCGGGGTCTCTGGTATGAGGCTTCCTCTTGCCTGTGCGTGCGCCTCTAGATCTGCTGTCGTGTTCAGCTTCACTCCATCACTGGCCTCGACCGCCAGGGCGTGTCTTAGCACACGAGAAATAACCAGGCCAAAAAAAAAAAGACGGTATGCAATTACAAGCGCTAATTTGGTACAGAGTCAGTCTAAACCCAAAGCCATCACTTCTCCTTTGTGACTTCCCTATTTCTATAAATGCTGCCACCACGCAAAAGCTCTTTTGCCTCCACCCCCAGGTGGGCAGGCTGGACGCCCCATCGCGGGCGCCTCCCTGCCACCAGTCCAGCAGTCTGTTCCTGTCTCCCTTCTCTCCTCACCCCCCCCCCCCGCCCTGCCTTCTCACCTGCGTCCACCCATCCTATGCAGAGCACCTGCGTCAATCCTGGAACAGACCTGACTGCGTCGTGGGAATGGGGACCTGCTCTCTGTAGAAACTTAAGCTAGGCTAGAACTCACGCCTTTCCAGAATGTGGTCCTAACTTATCAGCTGTCTGCCACCACGATCCTGCAAGAGCTGCACTGTGCCAAATAGGTTTGCTTGGCATCACTGTCTGGTGTAGCACATCCCCCTTCTTCAAGGTAGCTCAAATGCTGTCTCCTCAGAATCATCTTTCATTCCACTTGTCCCCCACCCCCCACAATTTCCTAAAGAAACTGCATTTTAGCACTTAGGGCTACTGCCTTAAATCAAACTTTTTTTTAAGAATTTTTTTTAAAGATTTATTTATTTATGCATACAAGAACTGGGGTACAGGCTAGAGGTGCGGGGATGTGTGTGAGAGGACCCACCACAGAAGGGGGAGCAGAACAGGTGGGACAGGGGAGGTCTGCTGCACCCTGTGGGTCACTCCCTGGTAGGGGATGGAACTCTTGCTGCAGTGGCTGCGATAGCTTCATAGTGCTGCGCTTTAACCCGTTGCACCTCCAGGGTCGCTCCTATTTAAGAATTCTTGATCCATTCCAGTGTCATCTCATCAAACAGGGGTAGAGGAGTAGGTTGCTTGAACTTACCTTTTTTATACCTCACAGCAGGTATTCTTAAATACTGAGTGTGGTAAGAGTAAACAGCTCATTAAGAGGCAGTTTGGGCCTTCCTAGGTAGCCCAAGGAAGCTGTCAGCGGCCACTGCTGCACAAGTTCAATCCCCGGCCAGGAAGGTGACCCACAGGGCTCAGTAGGCCTCTCCTGTCTCCCCGCTGCCCCCTCAGCAGTGGATTACAGTAGCTCCACCTGTTTTGCTCCCCACTCTGTCTCTGGTGAGTCCTCTCAACCCCACACCTCTGGCCTGCACCCCAGTTCTTGTGTGAATAAATAGCTAATTCTTTTTTTGTTGTTGAGTGTATCAGGAAGGTGAATCTGGGGTAGGTTTTAGAATATTGGTGCAAAAGGGATCAGGGCTTCCAGGTAAGGAGAGCAACAGGGGTTAGTGGGACAAGAACACTGACCGTCCAAATCAGGAAGCCAGAGTCAACAAGTACGCAGCCTGGAACACCTGGGTAAGCATTAGTGCCTCTCTGAGGGGCAGGCGACGACACCTGAGACCCTGGACCTAGCAGAGACTTCCGCAGTGATCCCCACAGACACGAAGTGACGAGTACTCAGACTTCGGCGCTTCTGCCCAGGCACGCGCCTGGCACATTTGCACCGCTAAGTTACAAGCGTGAAGGTAAAGAGGGTGAGAGTGGAGCGGCGCCCAACATGCCTATGAAGGTGCAGGGCCAAGGCCCGTCTCGGCTCCAGTTTCCGAAACCATCCTGTTTTCTCCTCACCATATCCACACTCCTTCAAAACCAGTTCTGCCCTCCTCCAGCTTCAAACTCTGGCCCTAAGGCGAGCCTGTTTAACCTGGATCAGTTCCCTCACACTAACCCAGCGTCCCATG